CTGGATAAGCACCACACCCTAGAAGAAAGCCATGTAGTGCTTACTGAAGCATCAACATTCAGCAAAACACTGTCTCTATTCTAACACTTTGTTATATCAGGGCTGAATTGTTCTTGAATTTTCCGTAGGCAATGAAATGAAATCAGTACTCAAATGGCTTATGGAATGGACTTTAACATTACCCATTTAGCAAACAAGACTCCCTGCTTAATGGTTATAATCAAAAATACTCTACAACCAGTTCTGTCCATGTGACTTCAGTTGCCCAAATTAAGTGTCAAAATTGACCCAAGGTTATATTTAGGAAGCATTACTGAAAATGTCAGTGCACTAATATAGTACTAAAAACTCAAAGACTTAAAAGAATATTTTGTCTGGAAGAGAAATGACAGCTAAAAACCTCAAGATCCATTAACAATTTTCAGACAAGAACTTTAATTAAGCTTGTATTAAGTTACCCCTTGCAGGGAATTTTTAATAATGAGGTACAGGCAGATGTATTTTGATATCCTTTAATGCTTAGTGTTTTTGTGTTTTATAATAATCCACCTTTATGTTACTGTACTGAGAGCTTATATTTTAAAATCCTTGGGTTTCTTTTTTTTTCTTAATCTTGTAAGAAAAAAAGGAAAACTGAAAATATCTGGAAAGTAAGTCCTGGTACACTCAACTTTAGAAAATGTCAGCATTGGATCCTTTAGAATGCTTGGTTCAGTTGAGCCAAGCAGTTTGTGGGAAACTTAGTTTTGAAAGAAAAATACAACATTAGACACTAACTAGTGCTTTTTAAAATGTTTTTCTGAAATTGTAAGCTAACTTATTAGGATTATGAAAATACTGGTTTAAAGCACCTGGTCTTTTCTACCCTAAGCTTCAGTGCAGTATTAGATGTGTTTCTTTGTATTTCATGATGAGAAATATTTGGCTGTTACTTGAGTTATACATTTTCCTGAAATATTTGGGGTCTAAGCCTGGCTCTTAGCATCAAGAATAAACTGGGAGCTGTTTCTGTCACCAAGTTCTCACAGGCATGTTTCAGGGTAAAGATTACCAATTCATTGACTCATTTTGGACATTATTTTTTTTATTTTTTTTTTAATTTCGGCATATTATGGGGGTACAGATTTTAAGGTTTCAATAAATGCCCATTTCCCCCCTCCCCCCAAAAGTCTGAGTCTCCATCATGACCATCCCCCAGATGGTGCACATCTCACTCATTATGTATGTATATACCCACCCCCCTCCCCCCTCCCGCCTGCCCAATACCCTATTACTGTAGTACCTATGTGTCCACTTAGGTGCTCCTCAGTTAATACCAGTTTGCTGGAGAATATATCTGGTGCTTGTTTTTCCATTCTTGGGATACTTCACTTAGTAGTATGGGTTCCAGCTCTAACCAGGAAAATACAAGATGTGCTATATCACCGTTGTTTCTTAGAGCTGAATAGTACTCCATGGTATACATATACCACATTTTATTAATCCATTCTTGGATTGATGGGCACTTGGGCTGTTTCCACAGCCTTGCAATTATGAATTCGAGTGCAGGTGTCTTTTTTGTAGAGTGTCATTGGATCATTTGGGTAGATGCCCAGCAATGGGATTGCTGGATCAAATGGTAGATTCACTTGTATCGCTTTAAGGTATCTCCTGGACATTATTCAGAATGTGAAGTGTCATTATAGAAGTGATTTCATGGGAGGGGCCACTTGATGTGTAGCTACCATGAGGATATTGTCTCATTCTCATACTAAAAATAAAAATTGATGTTGCTTCTGTTTGAATTCTCTTAAATATATTAAGGAAATTATAGATGTAATTGTGATTTGTGCCACATAGCTTTCATCTTCTGAAAACAATTTTGTAAACTTATACTTAGTGATGTTCATATACGATATGAGAGAATGCTTGAAGCAAAAAAAAGGTGCTTTAATATTAGTGATTGAGAAATAGTATTATAATTTAGGTTGAAAATGCTGCTCATAAGTTAAAGCATACTGCTAGCTTTATTACACATGATTTGTCTGAAGAGAGCTTTATCTGGGCCTTTGATTTAAGAATTTTTTTTTGTTTTTAAAAGGCTACTATAGTCACTCAAACTTCATGGGAAAGATGCAAATAACTAAAAACAAGTAAATAAAAACCATGTTGAGGTCAGGAACTTACTTCAAGAAAGCCAATTCTAGGTTTTCTTCTAAAATCGATGACAGTATAGCCTTATGTCTCAAACCATCTACCGTCTCCAACTGTATCCACAGCACAGCGTTCAGCAATAATGAATATTTTCCTGTGCCAGGTACTGACCAGTGTAGTGTGAGATGTTCAAAGCAATGGTATATCACCAAGAGAATACTTAGGTATGTTCCATAGATTTCTGTTTATAGATAAAGAAGTACACCAAACATTTTAGTGCTGTTTTTACCAAAAGTCCCTTTGTTTTTGAGTTAAACTTCAGTTAACAGGAATCACTTATTTACCCCAGTGATCCTGAATAAGTATTGCTTGCGGATTCAGTGTCAGGCTAAAGTCTTAGTGAATTGCTTAGCTAGGTCAGTGCCATTACTAGCTTGGGGTTGGCATGCCATCCATCTGGAGTAAACAACACTTGGTCCTAGCGCTGCCAGAATTGAGACCTGTTGAGGGTACTGTTTGCTTAGGAAAGTTTGATAATCCCAAGAGTATGTTTTTTTTATTTGTTTGTTTGTTGTTTTTTATTTTTGAGACAGAGTCTCACTTTGTTGCCCAGGCTACAGTAAATGCTGTGGCGTCAGCCTAGCTCACAGCAACCTCAAACTCCTGGGCTCAAGTGATCCTCCTGCCTCAGCCTCCCGAGTAGCTGGGACTACAGGCATGCACCACCATGCCTGGCTGATTTTTTCTGTATATATTAGTTGGCCAATTAATTTCTTTCTATTTATAGTAGAGATGGGGTCTCACTCTTGCTGAGGCTGGTTTCGAACTCCTGACCTCGAGTAATCCGCCCGCCTCTGCCTCCCAGAGTGCTAGGATTACAGGCGTGAGCCACCGTGCCCAGCCCAAGAGTATGTTCTTGATCAGTTTTTACCTTAATCCTCTTGCCATTCAAATACAGAAAACTGCTGCTAAGTGAGGCTTTTCCTATAACACTCTGTAATGTAGGGGAGGGAACACTAGTATTCAAAGCAACATGCTGGTAACAGAGGGAGATAGATGAGGAGGGAGATACCTAGAGAAAAGTGCCCAGACACAGTGCCTCCAGAGAAAGTTGTTGTGCAGGGGCTGTGTGGGCTTCATGCTTTCATTCCATCAACATGTCATGTGTGTTCTGCCTACCATGGACCAGGTGCTGTTCTAATCACTGGGAATAAAGGATGTGAACAAAGCAAGCATCTGCCTTCACAGAGCCCATGTTCTAGGGGAGGGGACAGGGGCTCCAACAGTAAACAAGTACATATATGTTAAATAGTCCTACGTGGTAGGGAGAAATAAAACAGGAAGGACCATAGGGGGTGCTATTGTGAGGCATAGTATGTTGTTTTTCTGTAGAATATTGGGGAAGGCCTTATTAAGGTTATATTTGATCAGAGATGAGAGAGAAGTGAGAGGAAGGCATGAGGGAAGAGGATTCCAGGAAGATGGAGTAGCAGGTGCAAAGGCCTGAGACTGATGTACACCTTAAGGAATGGCACGTAAGTCCAGTGTGGCTGGAGTGGAGTGAGTGAGGCCAAGAGTAGAGGCAACATTGGGGAGGTGGCCAGATGGCATACAGTCGCATAGGCCATTGGAAGGGTTTCCACCTTTACTTCCAGCGAGGTGGAAAGCTGTAGGAGGCTTTGGGGTCCTGGAATGACTTGATCTGACCTATGCTGTTGTGCTACCATGACTCTGACTCTAGAGGTATAAAGATGAAAGCAGGGGTGCAGTTAGGTTATTGTAATATGCCAAGGGAGAGACAGTGGAGTCTTGGACCAGGGTGGTAGCCATGTGGTGACAAGGATGACTCTAAGGTTTTTGGCTCAATCAACTGGAAGAATGGGGCTGTTATTTATTGAAATGGGGAGACTGTGGGAAGAGCAGGCCTGGTTAGGGGTAGTCAGGTGTTTGGCTTTGAATGTGTTAACTTACAGGTTCTTCAGATGCCACTTACACAGTCCAGGGTTGTCGAGTGGGCACTTAGACAACCAAGTCAGGAGTTCAGAGGGATGCTTTAGAGCAATAGTTATTGAGTAGTCACTAGGGTATGGATGGTATTTACAGCCATGAAATTGATCAATAGTGCCTCGAGAGCGAGCATGGATAGAGAAAAGATGAGAGGTTCAAGTCCTGTCATTTCAGTGACCAGGGCATTGATTGAGAATTCATAGACAGCAGTTAATTAAGAGCTTCCCTAATGTCCTGTCTCTTTTTAAATAGAGAAACATGTCATTATTCCCTTTTGAAACAGTTGTAGTATTTAATAGTAATTCAGGAATTATTGAATTTTCTTTTTTCTTTCTTTTTTTAATTTTTTCCAGCATATTATGGGGGTACAAGTGTTAAGGTTGTGTATATTGCCCTTGTCCCCCTCCCCCTCGAGTCAGAGCTTCAAGCATGTCCATCCCCCAGTTGGTGTGCATCACATTCATTATGTATGTATATACCCATCTCCTAGCCCCCCACCTCCCTGACACTCTTTTTTCTTTTTCTTTTTTTAAGTGCCTTTTACCTGATTGATGGCTAATACTATTTAAAATTGATAGGCACTCTTTGGTCTGGAGATCTGATTTTTTTGTGTGTGTGGAGCATCATTTAAAAAAATTAAAGGTGTTTGTAGCCATAGAAAATTGAGGTTTCAGAAGTAATTGTTATTCAAGATAGAAGTTAGTGTAAATCTGGAATTTCCAATGTTCCTTTGTTACAAGTCTTGGTTTCAGTTGTCATTTCATGGTTCGCAAATCTAGTGAAATTTATTTCATGAGAAATCAAAGAATGTAGTAGGCTATTCCTTCATACTGAACTTTGAATTTTTTTGCCTTTTCTAGCCATTATTTGCATTTTTAAATGAAGAAAAATTTAATGTGGATGGATGGACAGTTTATAATCCAGTCGAAGAATACAGAAGGCAGGTAAGTTGTTAGATGCTGTTGTCTAGTATGTGGTGAATCTCCAACATGCATAGTGACAATATGTCATCAGCATTCTTTCTGAGAATCAGCGACATCCTTGCTACATATTTTTTAATGGCAGTAATATTACCCACATGTTGCAAAATATAGCTCATTCTATTACCTGTAACTTATAAGCTTATTCCATAGCCACATGCAAGCTGCATTGAAGGCTAGATGACTAAATTCTGTTTCCTTCTCTATATGAAGAACATCAGTTTTGTGTTGTTTGTGAAATGATTAATAATTAGGATCTAGAAAAGTCAAACCTCTTATACCTTACATTTTAGGGATTAATGTTGCTATTTATATATTTGGAACCTTAACTATTACTGGCAGCTAGATTTAAATTATATTCATTTGAGTTTGCATATTCAAGTGAATTAGAATGGTTTTCCTATAATGATGTATTTTCCAAGAAAACTTTGTACGTTAAAATTGCCTTTACTGCTATCTTGTAAACTTCACCTACATGCATGGTTATTTACTATAATAAAGAAAAGAGGCATGGTATAATGGTGCTATTCAGGGACAAAAGTCTCTTATAACATTTTTATGAAGAAGATCTGGTGGATATTATGTAACAAGAGCCACAATTTGACCTCTGATATAACCAAATTCTATAGGACAGGTAGGAGTTCTGCGATGGAGTTTTTCTTTTCTTTTTTTGATGGACTTTTTCATAATTCTTGTTCTATAAACCTCTTTGGATAATTGGGAAATTTTGTTGAATCAGCCTTGAGAATGAAGTCAAACCCATTTGCTTTCTAAGAAAAGCTAATGAATATAAAGTAAAATTGTGGACCCCTAGACTTGAGAAGAACTTTCTAGAACCTTCACCACCAAGAACCAGGGCTGATTTCCTTTTTTAGTCTTGGACAGTGGTTTGCCTACTCATGAGCTGATGTGATGCTCTGGAATTTCGGTGCAGTAGTTTAGCCCTAGAACATGTATGAGGCAGTATATCCTGTTGCTTCCATAAATCGGTTTAGACTGTTGAGCTTTCAAAGGCTGTGTACACCTCATTTAATGACCTCTGTTCTGGACCAGACTAAGGTGGAAGGAGGACCGTTAAAACATTTTGCATGTTTTGGAGACCTCTGTAACATTATATATTAAAATATTTTTACTTTATTTTTGTAGTGTTATTGATAATATAAGACTTTTTCTTTAGTTCAAAATTTCTAGCTTGAAACAAAACAGTTCCTGTTTTTAAGATTGCATGCATATATGAACTGTTGAAGGTACTTTGTTCTAGACTGCCATTATATTCAATCTTTTTTTCTTATAACTTTCTTATGGGACTTTTAACTCTCTAATTGGACTCAGCATCAGACTCAACATCTGTTTGGTCCGTGGTCTATAGGGCCAGACCTAAAGAAAAGGTACAATGTCTGTCCCCAAAGCAAATACCCACATAGCTCACCTTCATGTGTGTTTATTTGTGCATTTGTGAGTATGGGGAGAGAATATTTCACCGCCTCTGGATCTCATCCATACTAACCGCAGTTTTGTGGGGAGATGATAGGATGGGAGGCATCTCCCTGTCACATTACCAGTCTGCTTAAAATGCAAATGACTGTATTTCTCATACAACCTATAGGGCTATCATCGATCCCAAAGAGCTTGATTGAAAAAACTCATCAGAGGTGGCGAAATGAGCCTCCCCAGAGGGGCTTTCCTTTACTTCCCCTCTGTGATTTTCTTTATGAGCTCAGCCTCTTTCCACTTTGGAACAGACTGAAGCATTCACTCTGTTTTGAGCAGGGAGAGGAAATTGCCTGATCTCTCTTCTACCCTTAGACATAGATTAAGATGACACAGGATACTTTTCTTGGGGGTGGGAGAAGTGCATGGGTGGGGGGTGAACTATATCTGTATTGTGTAAGTAGTAAAGAATATGTTGACACAAAATAAAGGAAGATCTACGATTCAAGAGAATCTATATTTACAAAAGATAGTTTAGAATTGTGGAGACCACCAGTGTTGTGTCTTGTGTTCTTATGTTGTCTGGATTATTGATTTGGTACCCTTATTATAAATAGGTAGGCCGTCATCACACTGTGGTCAAAGAGGCATGTGTACATATTGCTTTAAGGAAGAAAAGAGACCCAAGGCCAAATCCAGAGTTGAAGTCAAGCAATATTGACTTGAACTTCCTTTTTTCCTACAGGGCTTGCCTAATCACCATTGGAGAATAACTTTTATTAATAAGTGCTATGAGCTCTGTGACACTTACCCTGCTCTTTTGGTGGTTCCATATCGTGCCTCAGATGATGACCTCAGGAGAGTTGCAACTTTCAGATCTCGAAATCGAATTCCAGTGAGTATTGCAATTAGTGTTTTTCTCAAAGAGTGCCTTTTATTCCATAAGAGCAGTAGGCAAGTAATTTAGAGAAACACTCCTTTTGGAATTTCATTCCAGCAAATATTTATAAAGTGCCTTCCAAGTGCAAAGCACCATGCCAAATGGGAAAAGAAGTATGACAATACCTGCCTTCCAGGAGCTTGCGATCTAGCATGGAGAATGAACATGAGTAAAGAGCTCTATATGAAAGAGGGATCAGGAAGGTTGTCATATGTGAACCAAGTGTTGTGTGGAAAAAAGGACAGGCTCTTTATGGTTTTCATCTTTGTGGCACTATACCCTACATACAATAGGCTCTCAATAAATGTTGGATGGATCATGCTGGAAAGAACACACTAGCTTGTGTTATAGGATGTATAAGCACAGGCTTTTATATATACTCACTGTGACTAGGATGAGCTCATCCTCATCACGTTCGCAGGCTGCCTCAATACCATTAACAAACTGGAGTCAAGGACACATTATTCCGGACAGTGGACTTACACTGTCATTGAACCTAGTTCAAAAAGCTCTCTTTTGGTCCTTAAATATTTATGGAGACTTCATACTATCTACTCTGTATGTAAATTTTATTGACTAAAAATTTAGAGATTTTTTTTTCTTTGTTACTTTTCAGGGTCATAATAAATGCATTGGGTTTTTTCCCAAATTAGTAAATTTTTAAAAACAAAGGTTGAAGAAATTAAGATTTAATGTCACCTTGCTTTTAACTTTCAAGTTTAGACATTTTTGTCCTTAAAAGGATAATTGTGAGAAACTTTTGTATACCACTGGCCTATTATGTATTGTGACTCTTAAAATTCACTTGCTCCTTTAATTATTAGTGTCCATTTATATCTTCATGATATATGTTGTACTTGAAAGGATGTTCTTTCACTCATTTTGTTAAAACACAGTGCTAATAACACTTGAGTTACAAGTTCAGTCCTCTTGTGCTCTGCTTGGACATGTTTTTCTGTACCATAGCCACAGACTGCATCCCTACGTGGGCCAGCTGTCTTGCTAATACATGTCTTGTCCCCAAGGAGGAGTGGCCTAGTAGTATGGTTCAGTTTTGTTCACTCATTCATTCAGTCATTATTTATTCAGCATCTACTATGTCATTTGTGTATGTGGGTGAATTTCATGGAATTTGTGGCAGGAGAAGAAATGAAACAACTGTGCCCAGTCTGCCACCTCAGTCTGCTGTCTTGAACCAATAGTGCCATTATCCTGAATGAATAAGAGTCTACTGTAGAACAAATAGAATTTAACTTTTTAATTAGTCATTTTATTGATCTTTCTTATTTTGTAATGGATCCTAATTTGCATTTATTTTCCTAAAAAAGCTAAGGCTAAGCTGTCCGCAACCTCTGTTTATTTATAGATGATCTACTTTTAGGTATTATTAAGTGTGGTAATATGCTCTTTTTGATATATTAATACCTTTTAACCATCTGACTCTTGACTATAAGTCCAGAGCTTTGCTTACACCCAGAAAACATACGTTACTTTAATGTAAAATCATTAATATTTGATAGTCATTTCTTTTGATAAAAGCCCATGTAATAATATAGAAAGAATTTATGAGAAAGAGATTTTATTTTACATATAAATAAGATACAAACTATAATAAAATATAATTGGGTAATGAGATAATCCATGTACATTAATGTTCCCCTTAATGGATACATATACTTTTGTTTTCAAACAGGTTTGTCTTAATTTTGTAGAAGTCTTTAATGTACAAGTAATAAATGTTCATTTTAGACATTTTAGAAAATACTGATAAGCTGAAAGGAGTCTGCCACCTAGTGAGAACCAGTGTTAACATTTTTGGTATACATCCTTCCAGACTTCCATATATATATATATATATATATACACACACACATATGAATATTTGAAAAATAGATTCTATAATTTGTGTCTACTTTTTCTAGCTAGTAACATCTTGTAAACAACTTCCTACATTGCTAAATATGATCTCATATGCCAGTGTGTAGATGTACCATGATTTATTTAATCAGTTTTCTGTTGTGAGACATCTAGGTTCTATATAATCTTTTGCTATTGTAAGCAATGCTGTGATAAACATTTTTCAGTGGCTAAATACTTGCGTACTCCTTAATTATCTATAGCTTCTAGATATTAATTTTTTTTTTTTTTTTGAGACAGAGTCTCACTTTGTTGTCCAGGCTAGAGTGAGTGCCGTGGCGTCAGCCTAGCTCACAGCAACCTCAAACTCCTGGGCTTGAGTGATCCTTCTGCCTCAGCCTCCCGAGTAGCTGGACTACAGGCATGCGCCACCATGCCCGGCTAATTTTTTATATATATATCAGTTGGCCAATTAATTTCTTTCTATTTATAGTAGAGACGGGGTCTCGCTCTTGCTCAGGCTGGTTTTGAACTCCTGACCTTGAGCAATCCGCCCGCCTCGGCCTCCCAAGAGCTAGGATTACAGGCGTGAGCCACAGCGCCCGGCCTAGATATTAATTTTTATAAGAATAATATAATGCAGTACCATATATTTTAAAAGCACTCATGGTAGTTTGAACATTATTTGTACCCATTCAGCTCTACCACAAGCATCCTTTTTAAAAAAGGTAGCAAGAACCACCAACTCCCCCACAAACAAAGAAATTCAGAGGTGAAACAACTCAAAAGAGTAGCTTTGGTAACATGACACTGCAGAGAGAAGAGGAGTGGGAGAAAGGAGGGCTTTGGCAGAGGGCAGTTTCTTCCCTATGGGCCTACTGAAATTTACAACTCAATGAGGGTCTTTCTCAAATAATCAATTTGTTCTTTTAAAAAAATGACCTCATGCCTTTTATCTCTGTGATACCAGGGCTATAGGAGGTAGTAGGACAAGTTAGAAGCTAGAGATTTAGGGCAGGCCAGTGCCTTTCCCAAGGCTCCCAGTTTTGAGCCTTTGAATTCTTAGGCAGGGGGCTACCATGATGTTTTTAATTGATCACTGGCATGGTACAAGGACTCATATACTTGTTCTGAGAATGAGTATTTTCATTATTGTGTAATCTTTTCTCAATAATCCATTGAGATTATTATAAACACTAATTTTATAAATATCAATATTGTCATTTACCATCATAGTAGGATGACTTCAGAGATGCCAGGGTATTTGGTTTTTATAGTAAGTGAGCCCACACAGTTATGCTTCTTTAGTTTTTGTGCCTGCATCTCATAGAAGCTAATGTGAGCCAGCATTTATTGCAGACTTCTAGGCATTCTTCTTTAGGCCTCCCAGCAGCCCTATGAGATGACATTATTCTCCCCATTTGACAAAGGAGGAAGGGGAAGCCAGAGAAGCTGCAAGTGCCTGAGGTGAGAGCCATGGCAGAGATGGCATCTGACGTCAAAGCCTACATTGTCACCTGCCACACTGCATTTTCCCATTCCCATTTTTAACAGCTTTATTGAGATCTTCACATATCAAACAATTCTCCATCTCAAGTGTACAATTGTAAAGTGTTTGGTAAATTACACTATTGGTTACTTTTTACATGTATTGCTATGAGTTGGGAAACCAGGTAGCAAATGTGCTAGGCTTGTATATAAAATAAGAGAAGATGGATTCTGAATAAAGGCTTGATGAGCTCTCTTAGGTATCAGGTACCCAAGCTGCATTGTGGAGACTGGCAGCTCTTTGGGCTGCCTTGAGATCTTTTTTGCTTCCTTGGGTTTTTCTCCCCCCCATGTTAGATTCTAGAATTGAGGCTATTGGGAAAATCACCTGTAGATGCAAGTTAATATTATGAGAAACATACTGTACCAGAGATGATTTCTTTCACCTCTCACTTTTTGGGAAAGCTGTTTCTATATGATAACAAATCTAATGCAAGCTTCAGAATTAAAATAATATCAGAAGCTTTCTATTTCCTTTAAGTGATATCACTATTTTTAGGTAAGCATTTAATTTCCATTAGACATGGTGCTAATTAAGAAAAGACTAGTGATTCTGTTTGTTTCTAAGTAGTCGTAATTATTAAATGTGTGTCTTTGGGTGCCCACACACAGTGAAATTGTAAGTGAACTAGTATTCTATTTAAGCACAATCAGATTCACTTCTTCATGATTGTTACTGTTTTATATTTTATACTTCTAATTTTTTTTGAGACTTCATTTCTTGGTAGCTTAAACTTTCTGAACTAAACCTAGGTGCTGTCATGGATTCATCCAGAAAACAAGACAGTCATTGTCCGTTGCAGTCAGCCTCTCGTTGGTATGAGCGGTAAACGAAATAAAGATGATGAGAAATATCTTGACATTATCAGGGAGACTAATAGACAAATTTCTAAACTCACGATCTATGATGCAAGACCCAGTGTAAATGCAGTGGCCAACAAGGTGAGTGTATTTAATGACATGATGGAAATTTAACTTACATACAGGTGCAGTGTTGTCCATGAATGTTTTTGCCATGGTATGTCAACATGTGGGTTTAAAAGAAAACTAGTTCTCTTAGGTAGAACATAATTTTAATCACAAAACTTATCTTAAACAAAAGTCAAATACATTAAAATCAGATGAAAATAAACTTTAGGTAAATAGGCACATCAAGAATTGTAATGAACTTGGATTTGGGCCACAATCTGAAGCAGGCAAAAATTAGAATCACTTTGGAGCTCTTTTGACTGTGTATGGTCAATCTCATTGTATACACTATTGAGGCATCTATAAGGAGTTGTGGAAAGATGTTAATTATTAAAATCCTAATTTTGTAGCCTTACTCAAACACTCAATTTCCAATACCCATATATAAAATGTGTATTCTCATTTATGTAAGATAATTCAAGAAATGAGTAGATCCACATATACAAATTTTCCAATCACTCTCACACACAAAAGGTTACATTTTCAAAGAAGTTTGTCTCAATTGGCTTTTTGCCTTCTTAAGCAGAATATACCAAATGCACTGAAAGTTGATTAGGGCCATCATTATGAACGTCTGTGACTGTGCAGTATTGCCTACAGAAGCTGCTGCAAGATGTAAGGCTGTTTGCCCCCACGCTACATGGCCAGATTGATAGGCATCTTACATTCGATTTTTTCTGTTTTTTTTTTTTTTCTTCTCTTCCCATCATTGCCAGCTGTCACTTCCAAATGCTCACAGTGGGCCTTCCCCGAGTGCTCACTCCCATTCTGCCTTTCATATTTATTGTTTCTCATCAGCTATAGGCTTAAATTTCATCATCTTTAATACTTTGATTATCCCAAGGTCATTTATCTGGCATCTTCAATTATTCAGAACACAAGACAAGAACCAGAAAGCAAAACAAGTCCTTGAGCAGCTCAGATAGATGTACCAGCTTCCTAATGGAATCTATGATGTCTGTCTACACTAAGATGAGTAAAACTGCATGTGTGCGGGGTGCAACTCTTCATTATTTACACACAGATAATCTGTTCTACACATTTAATCCTGGGCCACCTCCCCCACCCCATGCATGCTCTTGGACCAGCTAATTGTTACCATAGTTGGTTTTTGTTTCGAAATAATTTTTGAAATTATATGTAAAGCAATCAGGAATTTAAATTGATAAGTAAATTAGTAATTGCAAGTAAAACGTTTAGGAAATTAAATCTAAATATCTTCTTGCATTGTCCTTCACTTTATGTATTTCTATTCCTATTATCTTTCATATATAATTCAGAATGAAGACATGTATAAGACACAGTATTTCCATGGGCATATTTAGCCTGAAATAGATATGATGTAACATTAAAATGAAGTATTTAGAAAGAATATTTTAAAATATTAAATGAAATAAATACCTTAATTATATTAACTTGAAAGCTCATTAAAGCAATAGAATTATTGAATGCCTTTTTAACGCTTTGGAAATAATCCACCATTACTAGTCCTCTTAGGAATCAAGGGAAGGAAAATATTAAGGGAAAAGCCTTAAGCCTTAAAGATCTCTGTGTCATTCTTTTAAAAACCACACTATTTCCCCCCCCTCATCAACTGTGGCTCTCTGCTAGTTGTCTATATCCATAGCAACAGGCCCTTGGACCTTTACACGATTGTACTAGGTAATCTGGGTTGTTCTTTTTTTGTTGAAGATAGGAAAACCGAAAAGACGACTTCAAAAGTAACCAGAGATATAGAATTTGGATTCTGGGGAACTCAATGTGTGCTTGACTAATTGATTTTCACCCTTTCTGACTTTCGTTCTCTTTGGACCTACTTGTTCCTCCTCTGTGGATATTTAGAAATTTACAACCCCAGATGCAACAAGCAATATCACGTTGTTACATCATTTTAAATTAAACGAGCAAAATCCAGTGCTCGGTAAGATCTAGCACCAAACTGCTTCTATTTTTGTGCCAGTACACTGGTGAATTAAAGTGAAACTGTATTGATGTCTGTTTTTGCCAGAAACTTTGGCAATGAGTAATAAGTATATTTTTCCTTTTATTTTTTCACATAACATTTTCAGTTATTTATGAAGGAACTTCAATGTCAAGAATCTATTTGAAAACCACCACAACTATTTAAAAACCACATGTGCAGCAACACAGGTTGTCTGTCTATGGGAGGGAAGGGTGATGTGTCATTGCATTATAAGCCTGCAGATCCAGCAAAACACAGGCTGGCCATTTCCTCCCAGGCCCCGTGTCTGCAGTTTACAAGAGTGACTGCCAGGTGGACAGAAGCCCCGCTGGCATTCTTCCCCAAGGCATGGATTACCTAAAAGAGGAGAAAGTAGCCCATTTGTCTTCTAGTTTATTAGCTAATAACTTTTTTAAAAACAACAAAGTGAATACTAATAATTATTGATGCTATTTAGAACAAGCTTTAAAGAAATATTTTTGCCTTAATATATTTTCTCATCTAGAGTCTTTGGAGACCAAAGCCTCTGGCTTGTTATAGTGGCCTACACATTTGAAGTTGAAGTGGTAGCCTTCCTTCGACTGTAGGAAACCTTCTCTGTGAATAACCTAAGAAAAAACCCTAGGTTGCTTTGGCCCTTCTACCCTGGCTACAAACTTATATTCCTTCCATTGTTATAAATAAAAACAAAAGAGGCATATTATAGTGATGGCACATTTGTCTGGTGACTTCCCCTTTTCTCTTTGGTCCCAGACAGGTGTTTCCTTCTTCTCTTCCTACAGACACTCTGAAGTTAATATAATGTTGCTTTTTTGCAAGTCTCAGAACTGTCGAACTTTTTCTTAAAGGGCCATGTGTTCCATGGCATTTCAAAATATTTAGTCAGAATGCAGCTAGATTCCTAAACAAAACTGTAGCATCTTTTTGTCAATGTGGAAAACAGGCACACTTCACCATGCTGTGAAGGTGAACCAAAGCTTGCCCTAGCAAGTTAATATTTGTAGGTGCTGCAGTGATGGTGGATATCTTGTCTTCTCTTGAAACCTTTTCTTCAAAGCCTCAATGCATGCAGTGCTCTGTCTTTGGTGTTCACATAGTAGAGAGTAGTCATGGTGTAGTAGAAAAAGTTCGGGCTTTGAAGTCAAACTAGACTTAAATTCCACTTATTACCTGATGACTTTGCGGATAGTTAAATAGCTTGTCTGAGTTTGTTTCCTCATTTGCAAAATGAAAATAGTAATGCCTATCTTGCAGCATTGCTGTAAGAGATAAAATTATGTAAAGCAAGAATCCCAGTACCTGGAATGTCATGGGAGCTCATTAAATAGTGGTTGGCATCAGCTGTTATAGCAGAGTATGGTTCCTTTAATGCTGTGAAACCTAGGTAGCATTATCCCCCTTTGACAGAAGAGGAGGCCGGAACTCACAAAGCTTAAGTACCTTGCCCTATCACAGGACAGGAGAGGCTGAAGTTGAGCTATCAGACTAGGTCTGACTCCAAAGTCTGTTTTCTTAAAGCATCACATCCTACACTAGTGCTGTTACGAAACCAGGGGTGCCTGTGGCAGCTCCATCTAGCCGTCTCCCCTCTGAAGAGTACTATTACAGCTACAAAATCAATGGACGATGAGGACCTTTCCAAACTTGCCCTTACCTTTCCAAATCCAAAAGAAGAGCTAGTAATTATAGAGCATTTTGAAGATGATTTTTTTCTCATTAATACAGATTCCCTAGGAAATTGCCACCCTTCTGTTCTTTTTTTCTAGCTCAAAGTATGCTAATGTTGAGACCTAAGTGTTGGATAGGAAGTCAAGTCACACCAATTATTTAAATTGGAGAGCTTTTGGTTGAGATTTAGAGGACGAATAACTTCTGAAATATTTGTGTAAGTTACTGATAAAATAGAAAATCCAACTGATTGTTTGAATATTGTGTTGTTTCTTAGGCAACAGGAGGAGGATATGAAAGTGATGATGCCTATCATAATGCCGAACTTTTCTTCTTAGACATTCATAACATTCATGTTATGCGGGAATCTTTAAAAAAAGTGAAAGACATTGTTTATCCTAATGTAGAAGAATCTCACTGGTTGTCCAGTTTGGAGTCTACTCATTGGTTAGAACATATCAAGGCAAGTATTTTTTTTAAAGATTTGTATATATGTAAAAAGAAAGTAATTGTTTTAGTGGAACAGGAATTTCTGAAATTCCTTCAATTTAAAAAAATTGAACACTGACAGATAAACTATTTGTAGTAGGGGACTCTACATTTGACAGTTTTGTGTTTCTTTATAATTTGCATACCTAAATTAAAGATATCATAACATCACTATAGAATTTTTTTTTTTTTTTTTTGAGACAGAGTCTCACTTTGTTGTCCAGGCTAGAGTGAGTGCCGTGGCGTCAGCCTAGCTCACAGCAACCTCAAACTCCTGGGCTCGAGTGATCCTTCTGCCTCAGCCTCCCGAGTAGCTGGGACTACAGGCATGCGCCACTATGCCCGGCTAATTTTTTTTTTTATATATATATCAGTTGGCCAATTAATTTCTTTCTGTTTATAGTAGAGACGGGGTCTCGCTCTTGCTCAGGCTGGTTTCGAACTCCTGACCTTGAGCAATCCGCCCGCCTCGGCCTCCCAAGAGCTAGGATTACAGGCGTGAGCCACAGCGCCCGGCCTATCACTATAGAATTTTTTAGAGTTTGTAGAGATAGATGTCCCTTCCCATCTTTCAGTAAGAAGTTGTTCAGTCTTTCATGGACATTTATTTTTTTATTTATTTATTTTTTGCAATCACACAAGAGGAAGTTTATTTTCTGGCTAGCCAGGGCCCAAGCCCCAGAGCACCAATGCAGAGGCTACTCTCGCAGGCAAGGACCCCGACCAGAACAACAGCATGCCTTTTATCCCCATGGTGCACAAGCTGCGCACAAGCTGACGCATGGATCATGCGTTGACCTTTAAAATGACTGGTTGCCCACTATTGCCTTTTGAAATAATTGGCGGGTTGGTTCCCCTCTATTGCCTGATGGGCCAGTTGCCCGTGCTTCAATGACCTCATCCCATAATTCCCCCTACAGCAGTGTAGCAAGCAAGCAAAAGTTTGCGGTTAGCTCATTGCCCCACCCAAGTAAATTCCCGACAATTGGAAAAATTCCTCTGCCCTACAAATTCCTCTGCCCTTCCTCTGCCCTATATTCCCCCCTTTCTCTAGGTAGCAGACGAGCACTCCTGCTCGTCCTCAAGGTCTCTTAGGTGCTCTAGTTCTATAGCATTTGACCCTAGCTGCTGATGTTGTTGTAGTACTAGTAGCTGGACAGCGTTTATCCATTCTTTCACAAAAGCTACTAGTCTATTAATTACACACGGCCCGAAAGTAAGGACTAAGATTAGCATAATGAGTGGGTCTAGTAGGGTGGATAGTAGCGTTGTTAACCAGGGGGAACTGTTAAACCAAGACTCAAACCAACCTGCTTACTGTTCATATTCCCATTTGCGGCGGGCAAGCCCTTCCCTGACCTTAGCCATAGATTCTCTAACAACTCCCGTATGGTCTGCATAGAACATTCTTCTATGAGGGCAGCACATAGGGAGGTTAGTAACTTTTCTAGGTGTGAGATTGAATCTTTTATCCTTGCAATATCTTCATCAATGGCTGCCCTCAGAGTATTAAACCCTCTTTGCTGCATTGCTAGAGAAGAGATACTAGTTCCTGCCCCTAAGCCAAAAAGAGTAGCCAGGGTTATGGCTGTGAAGGGCTCTCTTTTTCTTTCAAAAATTAGGTTGATGACTCTTCGCGCTACTATGCCCTCATACATTGTCTCCTCAGTGTGGTATATTATTTTTGGGAACACTAACACCATTATACAGTAATCTTTAGACCCATGTAAGGTTATGGAGTTGGTGGGGGTTCGGGGAGGTAAGTACAGCTGTAGGTCTCCATCCCCAAAACAGACCCACAACAACCAACCCCCACCGTGACCCGTCCATGTTGCCACCCAGTTCAATCCTTAGATGCCACAACCCCAGTCCAAGTCTGTGTCAGCAGTCCTGGGCTGGGCTGCCGCCACCACGCGGATCAGTCTGCTCTTCAGAGGATTCTTCGGGTCTGCAGTTGCTTTCTACTAGTCCTGGCACCGCTCCTGGTCTTTTTTATTAGCAGGTCTCACGTGGGAGTGGTGTATCCAGGTCGCTATTCTATCGACCTTAAGAGCAGTGGGGGTAACAAGAATAATTTGATAGGGGCCCTTCCACCTCGGCTTGAGGGTTCTGCTGTTATGCCGTTTCATCCACACCCAGTCACCCGGCTGGTGTGGGTGAAATGGGTGTCCGGTACCCTCCTCCTCAGGCCGGTAGATAGCACGGAGGGCCGGCCATACTTGACTGTGGACACATTGCAGAGCCCGCACCGCTTGTAACACTTCTTTGGGATGTCCCAGAAGAGCCTCAGGGCTCATCCTAGGAACTACAGGAGGGGGTGTGCCGTACATGATTTCAAAAGGGGTTAAACCCAAGTGATGAGGGGTGTTCCGGGCTCGGAACAGGGCAAAGGGAAGGAGGGTCACCCAGTCTCCGCCAGTCTCCAGGGCCAATTTAGTCAGGGTCTCCTTTATTGTTCTATTCATTCCCTCTACCTGCCCAGAGCTCTGGGGATTATATGCACAATGTAATTTCCAGTCTATCCCCATAGCCTGGGTCAGCCCTTGACTAACCTGACAGACAAACTCAGGTCCATTATCTGATCCTATCCCTTCCGGCAGTCCATACCTGGGGACTATTTCTTCTAATATTTTCTTAGCTACTGTCAAAGCTGTTTCTCCTTTCGTAGGGATGGTTTCTACCCATCCGCAAAACGTATCTACCATGACCAATAAATATCGGTACCCGTATTTTCCCCACTTGACCTCTGTGAAATCCACTTCCCAAAATAGTTCTGGCTGCCTCCCCCTTTCCCTCGTACCTGCGTGGGTCCCTCTGGTCCTCCCCGGCTGCATGACCTGACAGGCTCAGCAACTTTTGACGATGTCATCTGGAACCCGTCCTTGTGACTTGAACCTTAGTTGAGCAGTGTCCAGCAGTTGCAGCATCTTTCTCTTCCCTAGATGTGTGGTCTGATGCAGGTGTTCTAACAGGTGGCGTCCTAAGAGTTCTGGCACTATTAGGCGATGCCCTTCGTCCCGCAACCAGCCATCTTCACTTTTGCTTACACGTAGCTGCTCTGAGGCCCAGACCTCATCTACACTGGAATAGTCCGGCAGAGGAGGCAACTGTCCCATGCCCGGGGGTGGCAGGCTAAGGTGCAGGATGTTTGGCTGCGGAGTGCCTTCTGCAGCCTTCTTAGATTCAGCGTCCGCTCTCCAATTGCCCCGTGCTTCCACTGAATCCCCGCTCTGGTGTCCCGGGGTATGGACTACTGCCACTGCCTTTGGCAGAAAAACAGCCTCCAGTAAGTGGGGTATTTCAGGCTTGTGCTTAATTTCTTTTCCCTCTGCCGTGATGAAGCCCCTTTCCCTGTAGAGGGCCCCATGTATGTGCACAGTCCCAAAGGCATAGCGGCTGTCAGTGTACACCGTCAGCCTTTTTCCTCGGGCCCAGCTAAGAGCCTCCGTCAGTGCTATTAGTTCTGCCTTCTGAGCAGATGTCCCTTGCGGAAAGCATGCCGCCCAGATAAGTTTACCTTGGTCATCTACTATGGCCGCTCCTGCGCACCTGCGTCCGTCCCGGACGAAACTGCTTCCGTCCGTGAACCAGGTCAGGTCGCTACCTGGAAGGGGGCGATCCTTCAAGTATCTATGGGTTGTCTGGGTCTCGGCTAGGATCTCAAGGCAATCATGTTCAGGTGCGGCTGCATCGGGGGTTGGCAGAAGCGTAGCCGGATTAAAGGCAGCAGGGGTCTGGAACTTGATGCGGGATGCGTCCAGCAAAAGCCCTTGGTAATGAGGAGTCAGCCTCGCATTTGTGATCCACCTTCCCGGTGGCTGCTTCAGAACCCCCTCTATGGCGTGCGGGGTGGTGATCTGCAGGTGCTGCCCTAGGATGAGCTTATCAGCGTCTCTGACCAACAGGGCCGTGGCTGCGATGATTCCCAAGCACGCTGGCCACCCCGCCGCCACCGGATCTAGTTTTTTTTTGACAAGTACGCCACCGGTCTCTTTTAGGGTCCCAGGGCCTGCGTGAGTACCCCCTTGGCTATTCCCCTCTTTTCGTCTATGAACAGGTGAAACACTTTTGTAGGATCAGGGAGTGCTAGGGCCGGGGCTTCCAGCATGGCTGCCCTCGGGGCCTGAAAAGTGTCTTTGATTTGCGCAGTTCACTCCCATGCTCGCCCCGCCTTACACCCTTGTTACAGAGGTGGAGCCTTTTCCGCAAACCCTGGAATCCAGAGGCGGCAGTAACTCACCGACCCCAGGAATTCCCTCAGTTCGCGGCATGAGGCTGAAGTGGGTATCTTTAACACAGTCTGCTTCATTGCCTCGGTCAGCCACCTTCGGCCACCTTTTATTTTATATCCCAAATAGGTGACTTCATCCTTGCCAATTTGAGCCTTCTTTGCACTGGCTCAGTACCCCAACTCGCCTAATACTTTGAATAAGTTTTGGTGCCCTCTGGGCAGGCCCGGGGGTTAGGTGCAGCTAACAGCAAGTCATCCAAGTACTGCAGCAGAGTCACCTCTGGGTGATTAGTTCGGTACTCACCAAGGTCATCATGGAGGGCCTGGTTGAACAGGGTAGGCAAGTTTTTAAACCCCTGGGGCAGTCTCGTCTAAGTCAGCTGCCCATGAATTCCTCTCTCTTCTTCCCACCACTCAAAGGGAAAATCTCCTGGCTGCGTGTCGCCACAGCCAGGCTAAAGAAGGCATCCTTTAGATCTAGGCCGGTATACCAAGACAGCGTGGGAGAGAGAGAGCTCACAGAGTATAGGGGTTAGGGACTGTGGGGTGGATATAGGGACCCTTGCATTGACTTCCCTGTGGTCTTGCACAGGCCTATAGTCCTTACCCCCCCCCCCCGTTTCTTCACCGGCAACGGGGATGTTCCAGGCCGACTGGCATTTCCCAAGAATCCCACTGTCCAGGAGTCTCCAAAAGTGGGGCGTAATTCTCACTCTGGCTTCCTGGGACATGGGGTACTGTCT